CTGACCATTTCGAAATTTATGCATATCTTGAAATAGGACGAATGATATATGAAAGCATCGAACAATTGTACTTTACCATAAATATATGGTGCGTAAAAGCGATGAAGATAATGAAGCTTAGAAATCTTTTATATATTTATGTCCAATTTATGTGAAGGGACTTCCGTCGGTTGCAATTAATTCATCATGACAAATAAAGTCTCCATGTTTTCACTAATCCTTCCACTATCGCATATGTTACTATTGTACACAGAAATACAAGAAACTAGGACATTTTTGATTTTTGCTAAATCGTGAATCGCTCCCGTCAAAGGTATGATTATACCAGGATTAGAATTACTAGTTTTACTTGTTGGAGTATGAGTAGTTCATTTCGTCATCAAACAAGTGGAAATGGAAAATATGAAATTTGACCATCCGGTTATTCTCGATGACCGGATTTTCGATGCGTATTGTATTGAATACAAAGTCATTCATGTCTTTTACCAAAATTCGTACAAAATCATTTTGAAGACATACGTACGATTGGTCAAATTCTCATTTCAATATATTCTAAGCGAATATAATCCTGTGGATATAACAACAAAAGGAATTCCCTTTGTTCGAATTGCAAATTCCGAATCTTAGTGGACAGGATCGGTTAGATGATGAAGAAAAAGGGAAGAAAGATTATAGCAATGATTATTCAACAAAACATCATTAAGATCAAGATTGAAATTGTGGAAATTGATTTAGCAAATGGTTGAGAAACAATTGCAACATTGCAACATTTATATCATTAATTTATATATGTCTCTGAAAGAAAATATATACATATATTAAAAGCTGTCATTAAACATATTTAAATTACAATAACAAAAAGAAAAATTTCAGTCAAAGCTTTTGCGACACAAAAACTAAAACAATTCAAATTTTGTAAAATTCAATTTGCAATAGAAAATAAATTTCATCAAAACTTTTTTGAATCGTACGGCAAGAAGCTTTTCCAGTATTGCTTGGTACTAAATGCCGAAAGAGATCGGCAATGATTGGTAATGCTACCAGTTGGAAATTTTTCACTATTTTAACTACAAATCGAGAACTCTGATAAACGCCAGATATTAATGATCATTGAACCGGATAGAATTTAGTAAACTTTAGCTTAAATTTGCTTTATTCCACTTCTACATGCAATGTGTTTCACAATTAGTATTTAGGTTTCCAACAGGTGCTTCATAATTCCATTAGCGTACAAGCTATTATAATGACAGACAAAATATCGTTGCTTAATGTTTATAAGATATTTTGATATTTTTGATATACTTCAAACAAAATATAGATTTCCTTACAACTACAACATCGATATGGTAAGTACTTTAATTAATAATATCAATTAAAATCCGAATTATGCTAAATTAATGTAGTTGCCAGAGGTTAAAATATTCAGCGTTTGAATGGCTGAATATAATTGTGCAGAATATTTTGCTAATTCACAACAATAAACAGATCGAATTCTCTCCTTGCTAATTTCGCTCTTTGCTTCATCGAATATTATGGCTTTTAATAATAATTACATAATAATTCATCATATATTACATTTCTTCCTCTAATTGATAAATTATAGTATAGCTAAAAGATTAGTGTTAATGGATATCGTCGCGGGTTATTTGGCCAAATAGGTTTTATCACTGGATTTATCACATTGCAATTTGAACTTAGTGCAATTTGAAATAAATCATTACTTGAATTGTTACAAATAAATGCAAATATTTATTGAATGGGCAAAAATGAAAAGGAAATAAAATTAGCAATGATAGAAATATAAAATTTATTTCTTTGCCAAAAGATGGAATATATTTTTAGGTCTTTGATGAAATCCGTTCAATTCTATGGTTGGTTACAATATTTACGTATATTTGCATATTGACATATCGAAAGTGATAAAACATATACTTCAAATATCACTTTGATAAATGAAATTTTATGATTTAATCGAAGAAGAAAGAGAAATTTACCATATATACTGTTTGTGTTTTTGTTCCATGAAATTATTAACTAATACAATGATATTTATTGATTATTTTTAAATTATGCAAATTAAAAAATTGAAATTCATTAGAATTTAATATTTAAAAAAATGATTAAATTTAAAAAATTATTAGCAATTTTAAAAATTATCAAATGATCCAGGTGTATATCAGTAATCTTTCTAACATTTATTTCAAATTATCAAATGATCCAGGTGTATATCAGTAACCTCTCTATTTCGAGTAGCAAAAGAACGATATTAATTAGACGAATTCAATTTCAATATTTAAAATATATAATGAGAAATTGAGGTATATTTTGATTAAAGTTAATGTAGCAATCATTTTTTCAAGAAATTTAATTTATGAATAATAATTTTATTTTCTAAAATCTAAAATATGTTGTAAATTTCCAGAGATTTATTATCAAAAGTAAAAGAATTCTTCTAAACGAATTGGTAATGATTATATGCTGGATATTCCGACGAATTTACATGTATTCAACATAATATGCTGCATGAAGTACAAGAGACTACTAGAGAAAGAGCAGATGAATAAAATAAATAATTAATTGATTAACCACACACTGTCAACAGCATGCTATTTTATTAAATGAATCTGAAAGTAATGAATAGTTTATTGATTATTGAGCTAAGGCTGAAAGTAATTGACTGTTCTGATGTAAATATATGTATATGATTATTCTAAATGTTTGCATAATTTCATCTTCGTCATTAATCTAGGTAAGTTCGACAACCGATCAAAATGACCGTTCAAACCATTCATGTGCTATTTCTTGTGTTCAAGTTTAAACAATGAATCGTATAATTAATATTGTTTCAGAAAATAAGTTTCGAAAAATTGTCAAGAATATAAAGTTTACTTTATTTCTCCGTATATTACCAGGGCATGTGAATTCGATAGCTTGTTTAATTTTTAATCCTGAACGCCGACCAGATGCATTGATATGGGTACAGCGAAGTAATTCAAATATCCAATTTCCATGATCTCTCGTGACACTCCCCCTTGCTTCCTCACATTCTTTATTCCTTCGAATAGCAAAATGTTTGCGAGGAATAATACTCACCGGTTCAAAGTTTAAACATTTTAGTCCAGATAATATTCGTAGAGATACACAAACTTCGTGCAAATGTAGTAAAATTTTCATAAACTTCCGCGGTCTCTTCCATCTCTTTAGTATTCTGAACCTCCATTTTCAAGAATACATAAGACGAAGAGAATCTTCTGAAATATATACGCAACAAAAAGTTCGATGACGAATAAATGCAGCAAATGTTCAATGGGTTTTTGCAGATTCAGAGAATCAATCTGTTTTGCAATTATCCTATCAAGCATATTCTATTTAACTCTTTTTTTAAGGCCTAAATGAGATCGACAGGACAATTTAAAGCAATTTAAAACAATTCCTTATTGCTAAATCACAATTGATTCAATTCCCGATCATGCTATTAATATAATGAAATGTGCGAACACCAGCAACAATAATGTTGACAGCAGCAATGATAATTTGGACATCAATAGGTAACTGAAGATAACATGATGATATAGGATGATATTGGTGATGCCAGCAAGAATGGCCGGATTGTATAAGTCTCAAATTCAAAATAAGAGATATGTTACTTTCCTCAATTAAAACAACTCTAAAAGCAAAGTATGACAGTCAGAGTCTAATCAGAATTAAAAATAAGGTCTAATAGATTAATTTGAAAATATTCTTTGAAATCACAACAAGCATGGTGACATCAAATATTATTTATGGAAAATAAGATTATAAGTCAATATATATATATATATATATATATATATTGACTCTAAAAGCAAAGTATGACAGTCAGAAGAAATGTATTATATACTAATCATAAAAGGCAGCAGTGAAACATACACAAACAATCCAGAAACAATTCAACTCAAACAATAATTGTTACTATGAAATAGAAAATTCGATTCTTTGTAAAACAAGCAAATAATCACTTGAAATATTAGTTTAACTTCACGGCCTCATTGCTTCACTCATTTTTTCCCAAATAAACCATTTCTATTTTCATTGCACAAATTTAAATCATGTCCTGGAAAATTTAACTTCGAAAAGAAGTTAAGAAATTCAACAGCTCTGAAGCAATACTATCTGCTTATTGATTACAATATATTTTTTAGTGACAACAGTCATACAATAATACATAAATATTGTATTTGGAACCTGCCCGAAAAGAACTAACAGTGCCAATTGTCGAATCGCTCCGCTTATGTCATCTGTTGTTTAGGCTAATAGTTATATAGACAACTTATTCTTCATCTATACCGCATTTTATTATATATCTACACCACATCTTATTATATTTGGATTTTCAAGATGTAGCAAATTATCAGGTTCAATTTTTTTATTAGGGATAAGTAGTCATTCTCGCATCCCATCTGCTCATTTGGACAGAAGTATAAATACAGCGGAGAAAGTATAATTTCGAAGCAAATGAAAAAAATTGACTTTAAAATTTAAGGAAACCAATTTAAAAAATCGTGAATATGAGATCTTACATTTAAAAAGCTGGGAGGTTCGACTAAGTTGAAGGAATTTATTCCTATCTCCAAATGTTGAATGGCTTATATAATGAATCAATTGTTACAAAACTTTTCTTCAGAAGAAAATTCGTGTTAAGCGTAGGAAGCAATGAATTTTTATCCAGTATTAACAAGCAATATCACATTACTAGCTCTGCTGCATTGATCTTTAATCCCACCAAGCCCTCTGATAAGAAAAAACCTTCCCACTAAAGGCCATTTTGCATTAAAACAAAATTAAACAAGTTTTAGACAGTGTTGTCTTTTAAATACAAAAACTCTTAAAGAACTGGTCTAGCAGACAAACACATTACTTTCTAAAACAAATTAGTTTCAATAATTACCTCTTTTATTATTTCCTGGAACACATGAAAAACAGAAAACATGAACAAGAATGCACCTTACATGTGATGAAAATTAAAACAATGAATCCATATTTCCACGTTGCGTTGATTTGAAAGCACCGAGATCTTGCCGTGATGATATCCTCGCCTGTGAAGTAATACCCCATGCAGGTCCATCTGGAGCTGATCCAGATGCTGTAGGTCGTTTAAATCCCTAAATTCAATACATTCTTAATATGTTAAGATGTCCATATAACCGCTTAAAAAAAAAATGTGGCAAAATCGAGCAAAAATCCCACTATCATTTTCGCTATTTCTCACTATCATTCCATCTATTCACTGTGATTTTCAAAATTACTGGAACAAAGAGTGTATGGTTAATACTGTTTATAAAATTTCGATCACATTTTGATTTAGATTCGGAATACTCTTGCTCATTCCCTAGTTTGTCTCTTTTTCTTCCCTTTATATTCTCCTTATACTGAAAATTCAAATCAAATGGAGTCGATGTAAGCACTATGACAAGTCAATATTATTGCAAAATTTCAGAAAGATCAATTGTAACAGTTACTTTCATGCTTCGACTTGCTGCTTTTGCATTAAAAGTAAGCCATTTCCTCTTCTCATCCTCCTTTGCTTCTTCTAATTCCTTTTTCCGGTGTTCTTTTTTTAGTGCTCGCAGTCGTCGTCTTTCACGTTCCATCTGTAAATGAACAGTTTTCCGGAATAAACTAATGAATAGTAAAGGAAGTGAAACCAAAGCTGCACTATTTAGATTCCTGGAGCACTTTCGTTTGATAAATTCTATTTTTATGGTATCTGTGCATGATTAAGTTCCATTACACTATGTCATATTCATACATCATACTTCACTGAAGCACCTTCTCAATTATATTGGCTTTAAATCGCTCACAAGCGCTACTATACTCAAATGTCGTTGTTTAAATATTTGCTTATTTCTGCTACAATTCAAAAAACATATGTCTCCTATGCTATCATGTTCTAAGATCATATTTTCAGTTTTGCCTTTATTTCAACAAGCGAGCCTTAAAAATGATCACTGCTCACGTTAACTATAGTCTTTATATCTTTACTGTAAATAAGAAAGAACGAGGAAAAAAAAGATGAAAAATAGCTAATTGCTGTCAAAATTGATACATCATATAAACAATATGACAGCTACTCCAAACAACAAATGCGATTTTTTTGTCGTTAACCCAACAGCTAAATAAAATAAATAAATCTGTGTCTTAATGCAAATTTCCAACTTCAAATTAAAATTAAGAATGTTCTTCACCTGCCATTCGCTTTTGCGATGACGTATATTTTTGGTTGATTTTTCCCAAACATACACTTTGCTTTCATCTTTCGAAACCGCACTTAAATTGCTCACGTTAACCATAGTCTTTGTTCCTTTACCTGAATACAAAATCATTCTCAAAAATAACAGAAATGACGTTAGAGCATAACAATGAGAATAATACAGAAACTGAGGAAAGAAATAAAGAAATAGACGGACAATTGGATTGGATTATATTTAAGACTCAATAACTACCGAAATAAAACAGTTGTAATAATGCCATCAATAAAAAAAATTGAAGGCTTACCGACCAGTGTAACAGCGGCATTATCTTGTGTAAACCCATCAATTACTGCCAAATATTTTTGTCCATTTGAGGATGGCGCCATGCATTGGTCCCCCACCTATAAGAGAAAACATATCTAACCAGGACAGTTACTTGGTATTTTAATAACAGCATCTTTCCTGAATGCAGTGCGAAAGCCTTTTATCTTTTTTAAAAGATTATATCAAGAGAAGATAAAGCTTTTTCAAAATAAAACTATATTTTGAAGAATAAATACCGAATTAAATATTTCACCTTCCAAGTATTTTTAATAGCATCGTCAGAGGTCGTACTGCTTGGTTGTTCGGCTGTTGATGATCTTAGTTCTTCTTGAAGAGTGATAATTTCCTGCAAATCGACTTTCAGCTTTAACAATTCAGCATTATCTGGTTCAGTGAGTAGTGCCGCTTCGACCTGAAAATACAGCTAATGCCTGTTAACCAAAAATGAAATTTTAAATAATAAAAATTAAATATAAATAAATCAAACTGTAAACAGATTCGCTTATATTACTATCAATAATCTTTAATAACAATGAAACTAGCATTAAACGATAATAGAAATTAATTTTGTAAGCATTTCACAAACAGATGCACGCCGTTATTCATTCAGACAAATCTTATGTGAATCAGAACGAGAAAAAAACAGAAGAAAAGCTATTAAACAAACCTGTTGAAGTTGAAGTTTATAACTTCCAAGATCTTCCACTGTATTCATTCGCTATAAACTGAAAACAACAGGGAGAAATGACTACCCATATCAGCACCTTCCAATCAATTCAAACCTATTTCTTATTCTTACAAATACTCCAATCTCTGTCTATTTTTCTTATAAATGTTTTAATTACGTTTAATTATTGTTTTATCACAAACGTGTGCTCTTTTAATGTTCTTCTAGCGCAAACGTATACTATCTTCCAGTATTGAAAGTGTTTTCGAATATTCCCACTCCGTCACCAGGCATATTTTGACACTAAAGCATCTAAACCCCGCCAACTTCATTTTCCCCCCCTCCGCCGCCCAGTATTGGTCGCAATTTTATTATGAGAGAGGACAGACAGGGAACGAGTAGCCAAAAAATCAAGTCATTTTGCTCATTTCATTCTATGCAAATTTGTAGGAGTTTCATGGTTCTTGTCCCTGTAGATATGTTTGTTCATGATAGCAGTAATTAGTAAGTATTTGAGAAAGCAGTAATAATGACGATGACAATGACATCAGTTCATGGCATCTGAATGAGATGCGTGAAGAGATGAATTTAGTGTTTTCGGGAATGGAAATAGTTAATGTACTTATATTTGCTGAAAATCCTTTCAAAGATGAAAAGGAAACGCTGCATCGGTATTTATTGTATTACTAATCTTTTCGAATGCTGCAAACTGGACTCATAGAGGAATCAGTACTAGTAATATGGCAGATTTCTAGTTTGCATTTATTACATTTACAATCAACATAATCTCCAATTTCAATTTTCCAAAATGCAAGTTATAGAAAATTTGTTTCCCTGCTTCACATTATATATTTTTTTTATTGAATGGTAGTTCTCAATGACCTGATATCGAAGCGCTTGAGTGAGTAAAAGAGGCAGATCATGGGAACTGATATGGAGGAGAGGTTCGTCTGTAAGATCAATCGTTGATGTCACTATGGCAACCTTAGGCAAGTACTCCTTGCAGTTTTTCATTTACAATCATGTCTAATCTTTAATTTAAAAGCAAATGTAATTAATAATTTAATATCTCCGTTTATATCTGAATCAGGTAAGTTACCATTTTTCAACTGCTGAAACATTAGGAGTTCGTTTATTTGTGAATCAAATTATATAGATTTTAGTTGTAACATGTAATGGTCAAGTGGGTTTATGACAGACATTTTCTGCAGTTGCAGTTTTGAAGCAAATCCTCAGATTTTGCAAGAATTAAAGTGCGGATGAGAACAACGAGAAAATTTGATGCAAGATCAGAAGTTGGTGAGGATTAAATGATACATGTGTACTATCTTTGGCAAATAATTACTTTGTAACCATTAATTTTGAAAACACTGAAGAGGTTTAATTTTCAGAAGTTTTGTCAAGTTTACCTTTACAAATTGCTTTGCATTATAACGTTTGCTTGGCCCCTTTTTGGGCCATTGGATTAATTATTGGTCTCGTCAGTAAGGTAATAAATTTTAACTTCATCTCTTTTGATGTTTCTGATGTATGGTTTCAGGTCCTTTATTTTTAGTAATCCAAAGTTTACCAAAAGTTATTTATTTGTAAAGAATATAGAACGGTAACGCAGACTTACAGGCACTAATTTATTGTTGAATAAGTCTTTCTATTAGATTATTAAATCTTACTGCTGAACTGTTGTCTTGGTTACGTTATAAAGGCATAAGGAAAGTTTTTAAGCGTTTAAATTATGCGTTGGCATTTAATGCAGTAAAGGCCCAATATTTTTTCATTAATGAGAAATGATAAATTTTGTTAGCGTTAAAGTGAAAACCGCAAAAATCAAAATCCATTCGATTAAAGATAGCAAATCAGACAACTCTCTGCTACCAAAGGTGAAAACGAAATTAAAATAATTCATAAAATCATATCCAAGTCACTTTTTAACATTATTAGTATTATCCTATATATACGCTTGTTAGCAGGAATCTCATAGGAATAGACTAGATGTAGAGAGGTAGAGTTTGAACTTTTCGCGACAAAGCCAAATTTATTGCTAGTCTATTGGAAAGCATTGCAGATGCATTATTTGTCTATCACTCATGTGGTTATATTGTCGACCTTACTCTTCATAACAATTATAGTTGAGTTTGTCCGGTTATTTCTTGGTTACTACGGCAATTTGGGCGAAAAGGTGAGTAAAGAATGCGAATTGTTTTAAATTCTTTAGATACTCGTTCGATTTACATAATGTTTGATATCTCTTTCAGACTATCTTTAATGTAAATTTTCAATTAAAGTTGCGTGGAAGAGAACATTGGATGTAGAATTTTGAAATCTAAATGTTGAGTGAGGAATTTCAAACTACGAAATTAACTGATAGAAAATGAATTGAAGCATGCATTAAGAACTTTGTGCTATAATCATCATTTCAGATATCAGCTCTGTCCGGTTTCTGGATAACAAGCATAATTTTACAAGTGCCGATTGCAGCATTTTTGATTTTGAATATTAATATTCCATTACCTTTAGAGCGAATTTTGTGTCTCTACCATGGAATTTTTTTATTGGTAGAGGTAAACTTTTATTAACTTTACTTTTTCACGAGAAACCAATTATTTAGCTTCAACGATAATGAAAAAGTGTGAAAAGTGTGACAAGAAGGAGTAATGAGGTATTTTGGAAATTTGTATTGATTTGTAAATTTTCACAAAAAGATCCAAAATAATTCAAAGGTGACCAAAATATATTGTGGACTTTAGATTATTGCTGGCTTTCTGGTGATTCGAAAAATATCATGTTATCAGATGGCTAAATTCAAAGAGAGAATGCTCGAGGAAGAAGAACCTAAAAACAGAGATGATTGACAGCTGTTTTTTACTTTATATACCGTACATATCTTTTTATTGTTTTGCTCTTATTTTCATATCTTTGTTCGCGAAATCAGTTAAAAGAATTCTTTACAAATAAATCGCTAAATTCTAGAGACTTAACTGTTGTTTTAAATTATTTTCTAAAATTCACCATAAATTTTGTGAGCATTTGGTGCAAAAAAGGGTGTTCTTTGATCTCTTTGCCATTGTATATCTTATTTTTCGTCTTTATCGTCATCATTTCTATTAAAAGCATAGACAGCTGTCGTTTGCTGTTTAGCAATACTCACTCATTTTCACTTCGAACTTTATTTCTTATCATTTATCTCTTCCCTGGACTGAAAACATCTGTGTTTCATCTGTCAGTATTGAAATCATCTACATGAACAGTACTACTCAGAGCACAGGTTTTTTATTTTCATTTTGAAATTGTTAAGATCAAAAGTAAAAGGTGAGAAGCCAAATTTTACCTTTATTTAATCTTTTCTATAAGGAAGGTTTGAATTACAAAATTATTAACGTACCAGATGAGGAAGTTAAAAGATGGTGGACTGCATTGTTTGATATAAAACGCCCGTGTCTTGTTATAGAATTACTTTCTGCTTCTTATCCACATTTTTTTATGTTAAATACATTCAAAGCTTAATTCTTAATTTATTATATTTCTGGATCGAGGTTTTTTTCTTTTATAGCTTACAGTTTTAGAGCAAGTTTGGAATTTCAGTTCTCCAGAGTATGTTAAGGAAAAAGTGCTTTATCGCATATTGCAATCATTAATTTGATGCAACAAAATTTGTTCAAATCAATCGTTCTGTGCAATTATTCATTTGATTTTTTTGTCTTTTTGCCGATGACTTGTTATATAGCATGCCGCAGCATTTCTTTTATTTGGATCTTTCGTATTTGAAATTAAAAAAATAAAATTATTACATATCTAAAGGCGTTTTTTCTTTATTTTCCTTCGGCCTAGAAATAAATCAATCTAAATCACCATTGAATCTCAGGTTGCCACAAAATTCATTATTTATTAAAATTTAAATTTGCTTGTGATTCTAGAGCTCTCGGCCACTAACAACGCCAGTCGATATAGTTGTCGCATTTGTTTAGCAAGAGCTACTGGTTATCATTTTGAGGCGCAATCATGTGGTGCATGCGCTGCATTCTTTCGTCGTGCTATCGTGCATCGAAAAATGTTCAGTTGCAAAACTGGTCTAAATAAATGTACCATTCATTATTGTATGTTTTATTTGTTTTGTTTTTAATTTCATAAATGTAAGAATGGTGATTTGAGCGGAATATTCGCTGAAAGCTCTTTTTTGAATGCTTTCTCAAGGTTCATTTTTAAAAATAACTTCAAATTATGTAGTGAAATCATTTATTTCATCTTAATTATATTCCCAAAATTTCATAAATAATTCCTTTATTGAGAATTAGTGATTTCTCAAAATCAAATTTCTGGGCAAAAAAAAATGTACGTTTAAGTAACTTATGATGCGATTTACTTACAGCCATACGTCAACTATGTCAAGCTTGCCGTCTACGAAAATGTTACTTTGTGGGGATGAAAAAAAACGGTAAGCTTCTTTTCAGATATGTTTTGATTTGATTTTAAGAATTATAAAATGAAAGCTAGAGCGAGAGATTAGCAAGTTTTATAATTTCTGACATTTTGACTACTCAGTTCATCACCCCAGTTTATTTCTGATATTTGTTCAGAAATATTTTTCCATCATCAATTTTCTTCAGAAGGAAGTTGAATCACATCAGGTAATAGGCACTTCTTTATAATCTTTTCCTAAAAATTTTTATCATTGATTGTCTTTCCACTTTTGGAATTATTGTGATCCTGATATATTTAGCTGTTCAACCGAAAAAATCACAAATAGAATATTGTCGCTCATTCGCCACAAAATCAGGTCTCAAAAGAAACAAGCAATTTGGTGGACAAATGAAACAAAACACTCAAACTGAGGTCAGTTTTTTTTTTCAGATTTAAATCTTAAATGAATTTATGCTGTTCTTTTGTGAATGAGGAGATGATTATGTCATTCATATTTTGTTATTATCAATGATTGATTGAGATGAATAGTTCTGATTGTTTTTGAATATAGGAAGGGATAACAAACATTTTCAGATATCTACTTGCTCACAAGTGGGCAATTCTTGCTAATTCTTCTGAAACAAACTTAACAGAGGATTTTTCGTTCTTTAGGTCTTTAATGCATGGGTTCTAATCCTAAATTGCTATTGTTTTTATCATTCTGCTCGATTCAGATATTGCTGTTTTTGCATTATTACTTTTATTTGAATTTTTATTTTTCGTTATTATTAGCATTCTAATATGATTTTCTTCAGTTAATCTGTTTCCTCGTCAGTACAATCTGTTTCCTCTTCACCTTTACAGATCACTGATTCATTGCACAATGATGCCGATTCTCGAAACACCTCCAGTATTAATTTTTTAAGTGAAAAACTTTTTTTCAATATTTCCAAAGAAAGATATAGGAAAAAAGCTATGCATATAAAAAACTTAATATTTCAAAAAAAAATGAAAAAATCTAATGAGAAGATATTATTTTTACGTATTAGATCACTTGTAATTTAAAAGAAATAGGAGATGGGAGATATCAAATCCAATTCATTACATATTGGTAAATATAATTTAATGAAGAAATGTTAATTATATCACTAGTTTTTTATTAAAAGATTTTTTTGTTGGAAATTTGTGTAATGGCGAAAATGATATGTTATTGATGCAACGCAATGGTGATGTCGAATGTAACCATACAATAGGTGCGAACCAAATATTTCTTCACACTAGTCACGATGTAAGTCTTCTTTTCTAAACCTTTTTGGATTTAAAAGAAAAGCTAGTTATTGTCAAAAATATTTTTTCAAGGGAAGATGTTCCTTGAGATTCTAATTGCGTTTCAAATCATTTGCTTACTTTTGGAAAAAATATGCAACTTATGAAAATGGCAGTAAGTGAGTAAATAGCGAAGCATATTTCTGAATGTCCTAAGGCCAAGTAGAATGATATTGGTACTTCCTGATTGGCTATACGCAAATGTTCTAACCATAGGAGTCAGATTAAGGCACAATCATGTGGAACTTAATATCATATCATCGCTTATAAGTTCATTACATTAAATAATTCAATGGAGTTGGCATTCTGAATATGATTGTAGTTTTGTTTCTTATTTATATATACCTTTTTATGTTTAACTATTTTATTTTGCTATACCTCTTCTTTAATATCAGTGGATGTGCAAATGATTTTGTAGTATAAATTTGAACTTTTGCAGGTTTTGCGTCGACTTGTGGCAGAAGAATTGAAAATTGGCGAACGTCGTCGGATACTGTTTTGTGAAAGGCCAGTAGGCAGTATATTGGGAAGATCTCAATCATGTGTAAGAATTTTCACACGATTTATTATGACTTATATTTTCTGCGGTACCATTCATTGAAAGGAATATGCTTTTACGACTTGATGGACTTATTTTCATAATACTTTTATATAAAAGTGATTTTTCCTTCAGCTATCATATGCTCTAATTTTATATTGCCTTTATAGATATATTCAAAATTTATTCAAAGCAAGAATATAGACCTAAAATAATAACAAATAAACATTATACTGGCTTTGAGTTTTTTAAAGTTAACTATCGCTTCCAGCCATATACCACTGAAGAAATATTTCCGTTACGATTCCGGAAATTTCGCAAGTCAATACGGACACATATTTTATTGGTCTATGAATGGTTACGAAGCTGGCCAGCGTATGATTCTTTCGATAAGTTTGACCAGGTCATATCTGGATCAATAAGGTTGATGAAGAATTTATTAAAAAGGAAAAAGCATTTGGAGAGTAAATATTTAAAATAATTTCGCAGCATAATTGAGACTGATTAGGAGCAGATACTAAAACAGTGTCGCTTTCTCCGATTCAACAATTCTTGCAGATAACATTTTTGAGAAAATGTGTATTGTATCATACGATTCTGGATCCTTCTTATATAACGTTGCAAATTGGTTATCCCAGTCGATTTGTGATGCAAAATGGTGGATTTCTAGCTGTGGATGAGAATTGCAAGGAAGGGTGGGAAGATGAGAAAGAGATTTCAAGCGCTACGAAACAGAAGTATTCTTAATTTTCGTCTTGCAAAAAGCTCTCCGATATATACATATATGTATATATACATATATGTCACAGTTGAATTATACAATTTCATTTTTTTTTCCGAATATATCGGCCATTACTGAAGCAATTGATGTCAGAAATAGTGGAGCCGATGGTTGCAATGAAAATATCATTAGAAGAATTTGTTGCACTGAAAGCATTTGTTTCATGGAAAGGAAGTAAGCACAAATTATAGCAAGTTAAAAACAAATACAAACTAAATGATAGCATCAGTACTCAGTTTACCTTCCTCCTAAAGTATAATTCAAGAGAAAAGACTAAACTTATTCACGAAACTGGCACCATATTGTTAATTAATAAGTTTCGAAATTATGAAGGCTTTTGAAAATTAATTTTAGACCACTAATATTATTACCGACTACAAGAATTTTAAGTATCCGTTTGAGTATTTGTTTTTGATAGCATTTATTACAGCAATGTCTGAAATAAGTAGCGGAAATAAATATGCAATGAGAGCAATGCTGGATGAACTTTGCACGTCACTGCATCAGTATTACGAACAAAACCATCCAAATGATCTTTCAGAACGTTTTGGCAATATTATCCTGCTACTTTCTTCCGTCTTCGTTTGTATTTCTGATTTTATTTCTAATTCAGTTGATTTTTTAGTAGTGTCATCGTATCAGGTTCAGCGCTTCTTGTATCCTTTCATATTATGCGATGTAGAGCCTATTTAATCCTTAATGAAATTCTCTATTTTTTATTATCAAGAAAATTTTTATACTAAAAAAGTGTTTTGTCTTACCAGTTAGAGCAATAGTATAAGTCATTCTCTATATTTCACTTGTTTTTTGAATAATTTATTCTTAAATTTGCTTCGTTTTTAGTAATTTATGTTTTGTTATTTGTCTTTCTGAAGTATGAAAGAGCAGCAGTATTTTAGGTATAGTAATAAGTGTTATACAGTTCAACAATAGTCATTTATTAATTTGCTTCGCATGTCAATTTTCAGGCTGCTGGTCTTCAGTTTGTTGAGAGTCATCATGAAGTAGCCTTTTTCGATTTGTGGCAGTTGGACAGCTTATTAGTTCAACTCCTGAAGTGTGAAAATGATTGAAAAATTATGTTTTGGCCAAAGTTGTGATCATTTACGAACATTTCGTCATTGAATGTTCAAATAACATGAACGGTGCCTGAAAGACGCAGACGACACTACTTCCGTTTATACCTATTTATATTTATTAAATGAACCCCGCTTAGTTCTCTATCAGTACAGTAGATTGTTACTAAAATCATACTACATTCTTAAAATCTTGTTTTCTTGGAGTTTGTCGATTGTCAATATGAAACTGCTGTCCTCACTTTTTGCTCAATCTGTCAACAAAATTAATGTTTAATCAATCCAAATTTTAGAAGTTCCGAATTAATAAAATTGCTAATATAATATTCATTCTTAATATAATCTGTGTTGTCTCAGAAATATTATACACTACTTCCCAATCTCCTTACTGATATAAATGCTGACCCAACATATTGCTGTTCAGAGTAGTACAGGAATTATTTTTTACTGCATCATTTTCTATGGTAGTTTGCACATGTATTAAAATTTGCTAAGTATAATAGAACACAATGCAATAAACACCATTTTGTATTCAAAAAGGTAAGCATAAAGCAGTATATACAAGGCATCGATTATCAAATAAACTATAAGGAAAGAATGATGTCCATGAATTTTAGGAGTCGAATAATTCGAGGGATTCAATCTAACAAAAAGTTTTCTCCAGCTTCGATTTTTTTTCAACATTCAATTTAACAAAGTCGGGTAGTGCTATACTATTTTTATTGTAAAAAAAGCATCCTATTTCAAGTGGGAAAAAACCCATCTAGCCTTCACAATGCACTGTAATCTTTTCAAATCGCAAAGTCTTCGCGAACCCTACGTTTAAATCTGCTTACAAGAATTTGTCTTCAAGTAATTCTTCCCGTATGACAGAATTGTTGCTAAAAGCATGCTGCTGCGAAAGGTATGATTCCTGAAGAGATATATTGGGTACCGTAATTTGCTAATATTTTATGTATGGTACAGGGAAGGAAGGTACTGGTACATGAGGACTAAAGAGGAGAAGGGATTATCAGGATATGAGGAATAGATCGAGGTGTGAAGGAGGTAGATAAGTTATTTATCGGTGGCAAGATTGATAGAATCTTTTCATATCAGTTATATTTTCATTGAATTTGCTTCGCTACAACATATATGTTTACATAGGGCATCTTCTGTAATCCTTCTTCGAGTGAAGCGACAATGATTCGAATCCTGAGATAAATCCTATCTTAGTTTCCTTTGCTTGTAGTGTTCTGCTATCAGTCTGATGACTCTCCAACTTATTCGAGAATCGTGCTGAAGTATGTAGAAAAGAAGTTGATAAAGAGTTAAATTTGTGTTCCTAGTCTGCACAACATTTCACAACATTTCAGGCCTTGTGAAAGGTTTGATTTCTTACGATCTCACTCTTTAACAATTGCAGGAATGTCATTACCAGCATCAGCGCCATTTAATAATGTAACTTCACAATCTGGAACTTTTTTTCAACCACCCACACAACCGCAGTCAGGAGGTCATCATGCTGGGCCACCACAAATGCTTCCTGAAAATATTCTGGAAGAGAAGGCACGGAAGTGGAAACAGTTGCAGTCAAAACGTTATGCGGAGAAACGGAAATTTGGTTTTGTTGATTCACAAAAGGAAGACATGCCACCAGGTTCGACTATAAATTTTACGATGATGTAGTGTGAGATTTATGTAGACTACATATGCACACTTTAAGAATCAAAGAAAAATTCAAAGCTTTACCAAGAAGATATCTGTACTGTGATTAATATTTCTTCCTTTTTTCTTGTTTTAGAAGCATATTGTCATTACTCATAGATTCTGCAAAGAATAGAACTGTGAAATTTATAGCACCTTAAGCTTTAGAAAGTTTATGTTTATATACGCCGAGATTTCGATAACAATAATTTCAGAGCATGTGCGGAAAATTATTCGTGATCACGGCGACATGACATCACGGAAATATCGACATGATAAACGAGTTTATTTGGGAGCTTTGAAGTATATGCCCCATGCAGTTTTGAAACTTCTTGAGAACATGCCAATGCCATGGGAGCAAATTCGTGATGTCAAGGTTCAAATATCGAATTTTTGAGCTTTCTGAACTAAAAATGGAAATATATATTCGCGAAATTTTTTTTCAAATTCAAAGCTTTTCGGAGTTTGAGTTTTTGACTTCAAATTTTAACTTAAATTCAAATCGAATAGAAGCGTGAGACTTTTGGTTGTATAGCTCTTACTCCAAATTTGGGTAATAATTATATTTAGAAGAACAGGAAAGGAAAAATTACAGTTATTATAATTAATCACTAGACAACATGTGATACAAGCCATGTTTTAATCGGAACGGCTTAGTACAGGTGCTTTATCACATAACGGGCGCAATAACATTCGTGAATGAAATCCCTCGTGTGATTGAACCAGTATACATGGCGCAGTGGGGTACAATGTGGATAATGATGAGACGAGAGAAAAGGGATCGAAGACATTTCAAGGTAATACTTGCTTAATTTATGGCTGACTGCTTTGAAAAATAATTTAGCAAGAATGAATCGGTTAGCTTTTGTCCAAATGAGCAGTTAAAATTAAGATTAATGAAGATGCAGAAACACATGAGCTCATTTAAATAGGTTCACTAAATAAAATAAATTGGATATGTAGGAAATGTAAATTCCTTTAATTTTAGCGCATGCGTTTCCCGCCGTTTGATGACGAAGAACCACCGCTGGATTATGCTGACAACATTCTGGACGTAGAACCTTTAGAGCCAATTCAGATGGAACTTGACCAAGATGAAGATAAAACTGTTGCAGAGTGGTTTTATGACCACAAACCGTTGGCTACAACTAGGTTTAAGCGTGTCTTCTTTGTTCATATTATATGTTAAATAATAGGAATATCTTTCTTTCACATCAACACAGATATATGGATTTAGGCATAACAATTCTGCTTTTTTACTTTACAAAGTTTTTGTAATCTGCTTTGTCTGAAAAGATGTTTTCTTTTAGATTTGTTAATGGAACAACATATCGACGTTGGGCGTTCAGTATACCTATGATGGCTACTCTGTATCGTCTCGCCAATCAGTTATTGACTGATCTTGTGGATGATAACTATTTTTACTTGTTTGATTTAAAATCATTTTTCACGGCCAAAGCTTTAAATGTCGCAATTCCTGGTGGCCCGAAATTTGAACCATTGGTCAAAGATCTCAATGCGCTGTAAGTGATGTTTATTACTTTTAGCCTTTCTAGTTCCTAAATTTTTAGAGATAAAGAACTTTGAAAATAATAAATACGGCAGATAATTTTGAGATACGTATAATAATGGTTATTTCATTTTATAGCGACGAAGATTGGAATGAGTTTAACGATATAAACAAAGTGATCATTCGAGCTCCCATTCGTACTGAATATCGAATTGCTTTCCCTTTTATGTATAATAATCTTATCAACAGTTTGCCAGTGCAGGTGTCTTGGTATGTTTTATTTTTTAGAAGAGTGAAAAATTTGAAATTCGTTAACAAATAGTTTGTTAGATGGTTTGGTTGTTTGCTTATAAAATCCAGTGATATTTCTGTGGTAGAAAAAAAAATGCAAAGAAAATGTGTATTTATCTGCTGATCTTTACAGGTACCACACTCCCTCTGTCGTTTTTATCAAAACGGAGGATCCAGATTTACCAGCATTTTATTACGATCCTCTGATTAATCCAATAGCTCAGCGCTCAGCGGAGAAGGTCACAATTTTAATTCCAAATTTCATGGTCTTTTGGGAATTGTCAAAAAATCATTAAGAGAAGAGATTTCTTTCTGCATCAGTGCGTGACAAAGTTATCCTTTTGATTACCGGATAACGATTTCCCAAAGCACTTTTGATACTGAACGCAGTTTTTGCTGTTAGTTCTGGAATTACGAAAATTTGAAGTCAGTGTATTTTCATACCCTGAACGAGGTTAAAAAATTTGGTTTCTTCAATTGAATTAGTTTGGATATTTTTTTTTAAAACGCTGGAAAAGAATTTTACCAAACTCCCCATATTTCTGAGATATGTTTTTGTTTTTATTTTATCACCTCTCATAATTTATCAATTATTCGGTTTCTGTTGCACACTGATTTGGTTGTGATATTTCTCAGTTCGATAACAGAAACCAAAAATAGGATTACCATTATTGTGAGGCGAGCGATTGCAATGAGTGCCAATAAAGGTCGCAAGGTTGTAGTGGGTACATTTACAAAACGATTTTACGACTTCTTCCATGATTTGTATTTTTCAAACTTTGAAGATGTTATGAAAGTTCTAGAATAAGGAACCATCTTCAATCGATGATGAGGATTTCATTTTGCCGGAAGAAGTTGAAGCAATATTCAGTGAAACGCCACTTTATACAGAAAACACTGGTAATGGGATAGCTCTGATGTGGGCACCACGACCATTTAATATGCGTTCAGGTCGAACACGAAGAGCGATAGATGTGCCGCTTGTAAAATCGTGGTACCGGGAACACTGTCCATCTGGTTTGTTATCAAAATCTCAAATAATATTTGCGTAATTCATTTCACTGACAAACTCTAAATTTCAGGAATGCCGGTGAAAGTTCGTGTTTCGTATCAAAAATTACTTAAAGTTTTTGTGCTGAATGCATTGCGTCATCGACCACCAAAACCTCAAAAGCGACGGTTGGTGCATTTCGTTACTGTTTAGGATTCCAAACGACTCTTTTTGTTTTTTAAAAAAATGTCCACTTACTTTTTCCGTTGTTTGTCAGTTGAATTAAATTATTTACAGTTATCTGTTTCGGTCATTCAAATCAACGAAGTTTTTCCAATCGACCACGCTCGATTGGGTTGAAGCTGGTTTGCAAGTATTGCGACAAGGCTACAATATGCTTAATTTATTAATTCATCGCAAGAATTTGAATTATCTTCATTTGGATTATAATTTCAACTTGAAGGTAATATTTTAGCAATATCGAACGGTAGTCGTTGTCCGAGTTCCATGATTTTCCATGAATTGATAGTGGATTTGAGTATTTTCTGTTATTTGCAGCCAGTGAAAACATTAACAACTAAGGAACGCAAAAAGTCTCGCTTCGGTAATGCGTTCCATTTGTGCCGTGAGATTTTACGTCTTACAAAATTGGTGGTTGATGCCCATGTTCAATATCGATTGAACAATGTGGATGCTTACCAAGTACGTTTAACAAAATTTAGCGCATATTTTGGATTCAAGATTTGATATATTGGAGGATCTTGTGTATTTAACACATTTTGAAGCTACCAAATGCTGACAAACTGCCGATGTTTTTCTAAAATGCAATAAATAATATGATTGCTTTAGCTTGCGGATGGCTTGCAATACATTTTTTCTCATGTTGGCCAACTTACGGGCATGTATCGCTATAAATACAAATTAATGAGACAAGTTCGTATGTGTAAAGATTTGAAGCACCTGATTTATTATCGATTCAATACCGGACCTGTAGGTGAGTGAAGAATTTTTGTTTGAGATTTGTTTTTGGAAACACTAACTGCAGCTGCTTTTATAAAAACGCTTTTCCAAGAGACTATTAAATAAATCATTTACAAGTTCAGGTAAGGGGCCAGGATGTGGTGTGTGGGCACCGGGATGGCGAGTATGGCTTTTCTTCATGCGCGGAATTACCCCACTTCTGGAACGATGGCTTGGAAATCTTTTGTCGCGACAGTTTGAAGGTCGTCACTCAAAGGGTGTTGCGAAAACTGTGACCAAGCAAAGAGTAGAATCCCACTTTGACCTCGAACTAAGGTGATTATTTCGTTGCTCAAAATTTTGTGCGACTTTAATTATCTTTTAGCATTATTAAACTGAAAAATTTGATTCAGAGCTGCTGTAATGCACGACATCCTTGATATGATGCCAGAAGGAATCAAACAGAATAAAGCACGAGTAATCCTGCAGCATCTGAGCGAGGCATGGCGTTGTTGGAAAGCTAACATACCGTGGAAGGTGAAACATTTAACTGGATTAAAAGACCCTGAATTATGCCATTAAAAGTAGGAAAAAGTTTTATATTCAGGTACCTGGACTACCGACACCGGTTGAAAATATGATTTTGCGTTACGTAAAAGCAAAGGCAGATTGGTGGACAAATTCTGCTCATTACAATCGCGAACGCGTTCGCCGTGGTGCCACTGTTGATAAGACTGTTTGCAAAAAAAATCTTGGTCGCTTAACGCGCTTGTATTTGAAAGTATGTTTTCATGTCTGCATCCAGAAATATTATGCTTCTTCCTTTTGTTGTGAGATTGCTGGTTGAATAACACTATTTCGTCGCTTGTTTAGATAAGTTAACTTATCAGTTTAGAGGATTTGAGAAAACTATCTTTTCAACTTGCAGAATTGTAGTTAGGATGTTTCATATTTTATAACAGAAAACTTTTATTTATTTCCATCTAAATTTCAGGCTGAACAGGAGCGACAGCATAATTACTTGAAGGACGGCCCATATATTAGTGCTGAAGAAGCCGTAGCAGTTTATACGACCACTGTACATTGGCTCGAATCAAGACGTTTTTCGCCTATCCCCTTTCCTCCACTATCATACAAACATGATACTAAACTACTGATTCTTGCACTAGAACGACTGAAGGTATAGTTCTAGGCTCGATTTTGTTAATATATGAATTGTTAGGAGTCAGTGGAAATTACCTTTTTATTTTAGGAGGCATATTCAGTTAAAAACCGTTTAAATCAAAGTCAAAGAGAGGAGTTGGCATTAATCGAGCAAGCATATGACAATCCTCATGAGGCGCTTTCACGTATTAAACGACACATGCTTACACAGCGAGCATTCAAGGTTATTTGTTTTACTCCTAGTATTTTTATTTTGCTACAAATTTTTTTCTAGCATGTTTTGTTTTTTGCAAAATTTTATAAATTTTCAAGGCAATACTTCATTAAAGGATCAATAGCTCCTATAATTTCAGGAAGTGGGGATTGAATTTATGGATCTCTATTCTCACTTAGTACCTGTGTATGATATTGAACCACTAGAAAAAGTGACGGATGCTTATTTGGATCAATATCTATGGTATGAAGCAGATAAGCGTCGACTGTTCCCAAATTGGATTAAACCGAGTGACACTGAACCACCTCCGCTTCTTACATATAAATGGTATGTTTTGGTTTATTTGCACATTTCCTTCAGTTTTTTATGAATTAAATTTAAAAGTATGGTTTTGAATTTATCTTGATTTTGTAGGTGTCAGGGTATCAACAATTTACAAGAAGTTTGGGACACCGTTGAAGGTGAATGTGATGTCATGTTGGAAGCAAGACTAGAAAAAGTTTATGAAAAAATGGATTTAACATTGCTGAACAGATTATTAAGGTCGGGTAGTGTTTTCATATAATACATTCATGTTATTTGTTGTCAGTTTGCTAAATGCATCTATGAAATTGGTGAATTCAAGTACAATTAAATTTTTTTCTATATTTTAGACTGATTGTGGATCACAATATTGCCGACTACATGACAGCAAAAAATAACGTGTTAATCAATTACAAGGATATGAACCATACCAATTCGTTTGGTATTATTCGCGGTTTGCAGTTCGCATCATTTATTGTGCAGTACTATGGATTGGTTTTAGATCTCTTAATTCTTGGTCTTAGAAGAGCAAGTGAAATAGCTGGACCGCCTCAGGTGAATCTTATAGTTATCACATTTTCAAGCTGAAATGGGCAAAAGCAAAAAAAATGTACACACTGTTTACAGCAATATTTCAGTGTCCAAATGAGTTCCTCACTTATCAAGACGTTGCAACGGAGATCGTGCATCCTATTAGGCTCTACTGTCGATATATCGATAAAATTTGGATTTTCTTCAGGTACTTGTTTGATTTGGAAACTGCTGAAGCAGTTTAGTATTTTACCAATTTTATTGAGAAAAAATTGGATTTTCAAGGTTCTTGGCTGACGATGCAAGAGATTTAATCCAGCGCTATTTGACCGAACATCCAGACCCAAATAATGAGAATATAGTTGGTTATAACAACAAAAAATGTTGGCCGCGGGATGCACGAATGAGGCTAATGAAGCATGATGTTAACTTGGGTCGTGCTGTTTTCTGGGATATCAAGGTTAATCTTTGATTCTTACTGCGCAAAACAAAAATTCTTCTGTTATTTGAGAGTCTAAAAGTCCAAATCATGTAAAGTAGATTTTTACTTGCCTTCTTAATTTTGTTTCAAATACCCATGCTCTTTATTTAATTAAAAATGCATTTTATGTTTTATTCCACCTATAATACTGACAGTGCTCTACAGTTAAGGTGCACAAAATATCTTTTTTGGATCATAATTCGTTACCATGAATGGGTCTTTATATCTATTTGAGATGAATAATAAGTTGTATTATGAAGTGAATTAATTTTAATGATGACGAAATTATCCTTTATAATTGTAAAATATGGCTTCAAAACTTTTTGTTCATTTCAACATACTGCTTTGTTTCTATATGATTAGAACGAAGGTAGCAATAGTGAAAGTTTTTCATCTGTTAGGATGGGAGTAATATTATTATGGTGTAGCAGTTTTAGATAAAATTATATTGTTGAAAAACTGACTCCAAGACAGTAGCAAAATCACTGATGAGATCGGACTCAAAAATTTTACAGTGTCATGAAGTAAAAGTTGCAGAATCGTTTACCACGATCAGTTACCACAGTCGAATGGGAGAATTCATTTGTGTCAGTGTACAGTAAAGATAATCCAAATTTGCTGTTTGACATGTGTGGTTTTGAATGTAGAATACTGCCGAAATGCCGTATGGCAACTGAGGAATTGACACATCGTGATGGTGTTTGGAATTTGCAGAATGAGGTTTTTTTTTTACTTCTTATCGCCTTCCAAACTCACTTTTTTCTGTTTTAATATTTTTTTGTTTGAAGGTTACAAAAGAACGCACTGCACAATGCTTCTTGAAAGTTGATGAAGAATCTTTATTGAAATTCCATAATCGTATCCGGCAGATTCTTATGTCTTCTGGATCTACTACCTTTACAAAGGTATGTTTCCATATCTTCTGCTTACCATGATTTCTGAAATAATTTAAAAAAAAAAGTTTTTGAAATAACTAAAAATTATCACCTATTTCAGATTGTGAACAAATGGAATACGGCGCTAATTGGGTTGATGACGTATTTCAGAGAAGCTGTTGTTAACACTCAAGAATTGTTAGATTTGCTAGTGAAGTGTGAAAATAAGATCCAAACTCGGTAATTCTTTTGTCATGTTACGAAATAGATCTGTTGTTTTCTAAAATCTTCATATTTCATCTCGAGGTTGGGTGGGCTAAACAAAATAAACCTTGATGTTGGTAGTGAAATGAAGTTACGCAACCACTGGGAGATGCCACTAAATGAGTGGACGATGATGGCAGTCAAAAATTATTATTAGAACTATTATATATCATTTTATAATGGTTAGTAAAAAAAACCGTGATAGTGGAGAAAGTAGTAATGCAATTACATATAGTGATCCTATGGTTGTAACATAATAGTGCCGATGATAGTAGATTGAGTGGAAGGATCGGGGTGAAAAATCACAAATTTTTTTATTCATCTGCATGGAGTTTGTAATTTTGCAGCGCTTGTTGAGAAGTTCATGTCTTCTTTTAGTTCCCATATTAGAAATGCAGTTAAAATTTCTTGAAAATCAATCATTTTCCTTGTATTTAGTATCAAGATTGGACTAAACTCCAAAATGCCTGCTCGCTTCCCACCTGTGGTTTTCTACACACCAAAAGAAATCGGCGGATTGGGTATGCTTTCAATGGGACATGTGTTGATTCCACAATCTGATTTGCGATGGATGAAACAAACCGACCAGGGTGGAATTACTCATTTCCGGAGTGGCATGACGCATGATGAAGATCAGCTTATTCCAAACTTATACCGTTACATTCAGGTTAGTTGGAGAATTTTCAGTCGTACATTTCGAATTATTTTTAGTATTTTTGTTTGTTCAATGACTTTCTATTTTTAGCCTTGGGAAGCTGAATTTATCGATTCACAGCGGGTCTGGGCTGAATATGCTCTGAAAAGACAAGAAGCAAATGCGCAAAATCGTCGTTTAACTCTTGAGGATTTGGATGATAGCTGGGATCGTGGAATCCCACGGATCAATACATTGTTTCAAAAAGATCGACATACATTGGCATATGACAAAGGGTGGCGAGTGAGGACGGAATTCAAAACTTACCAGGTCTCATAAGTCTATTCTGTAGCATTAATTTAAAAGCTAGTTGTTGTTTTTAAATTAAATTAATTTGAAATTTAATTGGGATGTCTTTTCGAATTGGGAACATTTTCAGATTCTGAAACAAAATCCATTTTGGTGGACACACCAACGGCATGATGGTAAATTATGGAATTTGAATAATTATCGTACGGATATGATTCAAGCTTTGGGTGGTGTTGAAGGTATTCTTGAACACACACTATTTCGAGTATGTTGTTCATCCTTATTTCAAACTAAACTATATTTACATTTAATTTTATAGGTTTGCAATCAAGTTATTGACACTATTAAATGAATGATTTTTCCAGGGTACGTATTTTCCTACATGGGAAGGTTTGTTTTGGGAACGTGCATCTGGTTTCGAAGAATCGATGAAGTTCAAGAAATTAACAAATGCCCAGCGATCTGGTTTAAATCAAATTCCGAATCGACGTTTCACGTTGTGGTGGTCGCCTACTATCAATCGAGCTAATGTTAATTTTGGCACTGTTTTTATATTTGTTTTTGTATTTATTTATATCTCAATTTTTATTGGTTCAAATTTGTTTGAGAATCAAATGAAGAATATACAGGTCTACGTTGGTTTCCAAGTGCAACTTGATCTCACTGGCATTTTCATGCATGGCAAGATTCCGACACTAAAAATATCGCTGATTCAAATATTTCGTGCTCACTTGTGGCAGAAGATCCATGAATCGGTTGTCATGGATTTGTGCCAGGTATTTTTTGCATTGGAAAACTTGGGAATGTAAAATGTTGAACTCTTCTACAAAGAAAAAGATTTTTAGGTATTCGATCAAGAACTTGACGCGCTTGAAATCCAGACCGTACAAAAAGAAACAATCCATCCTCGAAAATCTTATAAAATGAATAGCTCATGTGCTGATATTCTTCTTTTCGCACAATATAAATGGCACGTATCTCGGCCATCGTTATTGGCTGACACGAAGTACGTATCGCGTTTAGATCTTATATATTAATGTTCCATTGGCTTGTTGTTTCTGTGCCTAACGGATTTGCTTTACAACATTTATAATTATTCATTCCCAAAAGAAAAAAAGACTGTGGAAAGGGGATCGGTAAGAAAACCTTGTAAACCTTCGAGAAGAGGATGATAAGTTATGAGCTCCTATATGTCGATTTATCGTCGTGAACAAATATTTTAACACAGGTAAAATTTCAGGGATGTAATGGACAACACGACTACGCAGAAGTACTGGTTAGATATTCAGCTACGTTGGGGTGATTATGATTCACATGATGTTGAACGTTATGCGAGAGCAAAATTTCTTGATTATACCACAGATAACATGTCGATTTACCCTTCGCCAACCGGTGTTTTAATTGCAATAGACCTGGCGTATAATTTATATAGGTAAGCTTTCTACTGTTTACTTAATTTGTAAATTTCGTACTTGACAGCTTAAATTTAATATTTTGTTTCTGACAAAGAAAATTCAATAAGATCAACTTTTCCAGTGCATATGGAAACTGGTTCCCTGGTATGAAACCGCTGATTCGACAAGCCATGGCTAAAATCATCAAGGCCAATCCTGCTTTTTATGTGTTGCGTGAGCGTATTCGTAAAGGTCTTCAGTTGTATTCATCTGAACCTACGGAGCCATATTTGACATCGCAAAATTATGGCGAATTATTCAGCAATCAGATTATTTGGTTTGTAGACGACACGAATGTGTATAGAGTGACGATTCATAAGGTTATTTAAACTTGGTCAAAAACTTTCTTGAAATTACCGAACACTTCAGATTTTCGCTTCGCAATTTATGAGCATTTCATACTGCTCTAAAACATACCAGTTCTTGGTAGTCGACAATGTCATAAAATTTCAATATCATAAAACTTCAATTCTTTATAGACATTTGAAGGGAATTTAACAACAAAGCCTATCAATGGTGCCATTTTCATTTTTAATCCACGAACTGGCCAACTTTTTTTAAAAATCATCCATACAAGTGTATGGGCTGGGCAGAAACGCTTAAGTCAGGTATGCTACTTTAATTATGTTGAATTTTTTCGTATAACTTTTCATTCACGATTTTCTGGTTTCATTTTTTTCTGACAGGATATGTTTTAGTTAGCTAAGTGGAAAACAGCTGAAGAAGTAGCAGCTCTTATTCGGTCTTTGCCAGTTGAGGAACAACCACGTCAAATTATCGTAACACGGAAAGCCATGTTGGACCCTCTGGAAGTCCACTTGCTTGACTTTCCGAATATTGTTATCAAGGGATCGGAATTGATGCTACCGTTTCAGGCTATCATGAAGGTTAAGACTAATTCGTTTTATTGAAGGAAGTGCTATATTTTATTTTAAATTAAAGAGTAAAGTCGAAAAATGTTTAGGTAGAAAAATTCGGTGATCTGATTTTGAAAGCAACTGAACCACAGATGGTCTTGTTCAACTTATATGACGATTGGCTAAAGGTATTTAGATTTTTAGATTTCTTTTTTGTCCCAGTGTTGTTTGTGCTAATAGCATAACCAGAAGCTCCTGTGTTTTGCTATGCAGGATGTGATTTTGTAAAATTTTTTTATTCACTGTAAACAAGCTGTTGTAGACTACATTTAATACTGATAGTAAAAATAATGGAAAAAGGCCGAAAAAAAGAATTTCAAATCCTTATATTAATCGGTTTTACATTGCAGACTATCTCCAGTTACACAGCATTTTCACGTGTTATATTGATAATGCGCGGTATGCACATCAACCCTGACAAAACGAAAGTGATTTTAAAACCAGACAAGACAACAGTAACAGAGCCTCATCATATATGGCCGTCTTTAAGTGACGAAGATTGGATTAAGGTTTACATAACCCTTCAGACTATTTCTTTCAAAGTTTCAACTTTTCAAAGTAATTGGACTAATTTTCTGCTTTTCAGGTTGAATTAGCTCTGAAGGATATGATTTTGGCGGATTATGGCAAAAAAAATAATGTTAATGTTGCATCACTGACACAAAGTGAAGTACGAGATATTATTCTGGGTATGGAAATCAGTGCACCATCAGCTCAACGTCAACAAATAGCTGATATTGAAAAGCAAACAAAGGAGCAGAGCCAAGTAAATTTACCTGCTGAATCAACTTTTAAAAATCGTTGCTGTATTCGATAGATGTTGTATTTGGTATTTGAGATACTCGGTAGAATGATTTTTTTTTTGAATGTGAGAGGTTTTTCAGTGTTATTTGTCGTGTTTGTCAGAACATTAGCTGAAATAAATGCATGCTTTTCTCAGTTCATTTTTACTGTCCCATTTTCAGGTAACAGCTACCACAACCCGCACAGTCAACAAGCACGGCGATGAAATCATATCTGCAACAACAAGCAATTATGAGGTGATAGATTTGTGAATATTAATCAAATTCTGAGATGTTTTGTGCAGTTTATAAATTTTATAAATAAAAGATATAATTTATAAGAAATTAAAAAATTATTCAGAAGCTAGCTGCATTAAGATTAACTAGCTTTTGTTACCATAAATATGCGCGTGCACTTGTATTGATAAATGGGGTCAGTTGTAATTTTTTGATTTTAAGAGCCAAACATTTGCTTCGCGCACTGAATGGCGAATCCGCGCAATTAGCGCTACAAATTTGCATTTGCGAACACAACACATATATGTTAATTCGGATGACGTTAAAGACACTGGCTATACATACATCTTGCCGAAAAATGTATTGAAAAAGTTCATCATCATTGCAGATTTAAGAACTCAGGTACTCCATTTTTTTTTTAATTTGAAGAGTTCCAGTATTCCATTAAAGAATTGAAAAAAAAAATGAAAATTCCCAGCTGAAATTTTATTTGTTGATTGTTACAAAATATGTTTCTTCACAGGTTGCTGGTTATCTCTATGGGATATCGCCACCTGATAATCCACAGGTAAAAGAAATTCGCTGCATTGTTCTACCACCACAATGGGGTACTCATCAGTTGGTGCATCTTCCCAACCAATTACCCACTCATGAATTCATCAAAGATCTCGAACCACTTGGATGGTAAGAATTTGTATTTAGAAACTTTAGAATACAAGAATCATTTTTCGAAAATGGAGAAGAAAGAGTACAATTTCAAAAAGACATTTGATAATGAGATAACTCTTCTAATAATGCGGAGATAATTATGCAATTTCATATAATTCGAGAGGCCTTGTTATACAAGCCATGAATTGAGCTTAGAAGCTTGTGAAGTTCTTCAGAGCCACTGTTAAGCTCACCAACTGATTTATTCATTAAGTTATGAAATTCTCAAGTGATTATTTTTAGGATGCATACTCAACCGAATGAATTGCCTCAGCTATCACCGCAAGACGTAACATCACATGCAAAGATTTTGTTAGAAAATGAAAGTTGGGATGGTGAAAAGACGGTTATTATTACTTGCAGGCAAGCAAAACATTAACTTTCTAATGAATTTAACTAACTCAATATTTCTCGGGAGCAGTTCAAAAATTCTTAACCATGTCACTGCCACCGGGAGATAATTTTTGCGTTTTGCGGAGGCTAAGAAATATATAATTTCAGTTTCACTCCGGGTTCGGTATCGTTAACTGCTTACAAACTGACGCCCAGTGGTTTTGAATGGGCTCGAAATAACACAGATAAGCAGAGTAATAATCCCAAGGGTTATCTTCCATCGCATTATGAAAAAGTTCAGATGCTTCTATCTGATCGTTTTCTTGGCTATTTTATGGTACCATCGTCTGGAATATGGAATTATAATTTCATGGGTATGATTTTTATGAATTATATTTGCTTTTTTTCGTACTTTATTCAGAATATTTATGAATCAAATTTTAAGAAATTGTAGCTATAAGAAATGCACAAGTCTTGTTTGTTTCAGGCGTTCGACACGAGGCAAATATGCGCTATGATTTGATGTTAACCAATCCCAAAGAATTCTATCATGAAGACCACCGACCACTGCATTTCCAAAACTTCAAAGGATTCGATGATCCGTTAGGTGTGGCTGCTGCCGACCGAGAAGATATTTTTGCTTGAAATCAGTTAAACTATTACTGAAAGGCCTTTATCCTTTTGAAATTCGTATAAATGGAGTTTATATCGCAAGATTGAAATATCTGGCAACACTTACAGAATTTAAAATTTTCCATTTTTTGTTATCCTCGATAACTCTTTTGGCAGTTTTGAAGCCATAAAGTAATCGTTCATTACTCCTAACTTCTGATATTTCATCGATTGTACATAAGGTAAAACACGAGTGCTGTTGCACTAAATAGTCAATAATCTCATGATTTCTTAATTTTTTTGCTGCTTCCATTCTTTGCAAAAATCTTAGTTTTTTAGTTTCATGAATCTTAATATGGATCGGAAGTTTGAAGTTCTTGATTTTTTAAATGATACTAAGATATATTTAAATCCAATTAAAATACTTTTGTTCTCGTTATTGTGTTGTCCATTATTCATTTATATGTTAGAGACAGTTTCCAAATCTGTTTGAAATATTTTTCATTGTTTCCAAATAAATTTGTCAAAAGCGTTAATTGTGTGGCAGAAACTGTATCCACAAGAGATTTAGCCTTTACTGATAACGAGGTGTGAAATGAAGCTTCTAAATAACAGCGAAGTGTGGAAGATGCGGTAAGAATCAGTGACATTGGGATTTTATTGATTCTTCGATACTGTTTAGCTTTGGTAACTCGCATGGGTTTTTTGTGTTTATTAAAGCTGATAATAAAACTCGGAAAACACTGAAGTCATAAGTCGAAACTTCATCATGTACGTTAGTTCGTTTTTACCGTTGCTGATTGGGAGTAGTAAAGAATTTTGGCTGTCAGTTCCCTGATTGCAGAAAGGTCGCTTCGCTAAAGGTCGGTTCTTTCGGGTTTCTGTTTTTTCTGAATTTCAGATTTAAATATAAGATTCATGAAATATATTAAATCACTTTGGTCTTGGGAGTATTTGGTTCCATAGCTTTAAATTCTAATTTTCAAAGCGTGAATATTTCATCTTTTTTGTTGCAGAACGACACAGTGGTGGGTTGGTCTCGTGTGATGTTCAATAATTATTTCGAAAATTTAAATTTGAAGCATGACAGCTGTTCCGGTGAAGAAGAAAGTGCAGGTTAATTACATTACGGAGCCTGGAAAATAGATTTTTTTTTATGCCAAATGTTTCTCTGCATTTTCTAATTTCTCAGTTTCTCATGACTTAAAGCTAGAAATAATTTTCATTAATTTTTTATTAAGGTTTCGTTTGTGATTAGGGATGAAAAAGAGCCGATGCATCGCTCAGGTGTGAATTGCTTGCAGTATGATGCACAAACAGGTCGGCTATTTTCCGGTGGTTCGGATACTATTATACGAATCTGGAAATCACCTGATCGTAAAGAGGATAACTTTCGGGTTACTACTAAAATTTAATTTCAAACATTATATAGAATAAATATTAATACGGTAAACAGGAAGGATTAATATAAATAAATAAATGAGAAGTATTAACTGAAAAAGTTTAAACACTTGAGGTAGCAGAAAATGAAATAGAGTCAAAATATGCAATACATTTTGGACTTCTTTTGAAGTTAGAGAAAAGCTGGAATTATCATTTGAGAATAATAGTAAATTTTTGATTGATTATAAATTTTCTACTATCAAAATTCATTATAAATTTTTGACTATCAAAATATTAAAATTTCATTGTTTTGTGCAGTTAATAAGCAAAGACGGATCTTTTTGCGGTGATAATAGTTATTTAATCAATGGAAGAACAAAAGTTCGCCGTGATCTTTACTTACAATCAATGGAACATCATACTGACTGGGTAAACGACATAATCCTTTGCTGTGGCGGCCGGAATCGTATGGTTTTTGTTTATTTAAATTTTAAAATAATTTTAAAAAATGGTAGCTTTAATGGAATTATAGATGAATAAGTTAATTGCTTGTGAAGCGGGATAAATCCTGCTTCTCGACCTTCTAAAAATAACTAAGAGGAATAACTTATACGAATTCTTTCATATAGCTATGCCCTCCTTTCTTTGTCAGAAGAAAATTCATTTCTGCAAATGAAAGTTGAAGTTTAGTAATTTCGGCTTCAAGTGATACAACAGTAAAAGTTTGGAATGCTCAGAAAGGCTTCTGTATGTCAACGCTGCGGACACATCGGGATTATGTTCGTGCACTGGCGTATGCCAGAGATGTTGAAATGGTTGCAAGCGGCGGGTTCGATCAGCTTATTTATTTGTGGGATATTGCTACATTAACAAAGCTCACTGCATTAAACAACACTGTTACAAGTAGGTTGAATAAAGCTACTGCAACAACTTGAATTTTAGTAGAATATGGGTTGAGGTCGACTACTTGCATTCAAAGAGTTTTCTAAATTTAAAAAAAATTGGAATTGAAGTTTTGCTTTTCAGCCTCTTCGTTGAGCGGTAACAAGGATAGCATTTATTCACTTGCTACGAACGCTTCTGGAACAGTCATTATTTCTGGCTCAACAGAAAAAGTATCTGTTCTTGTTCTTGCCCATGTTAGGAATATTTTTTTTATACCTAGGAATTCTGATGTTTTCAGGTGCTTCGTGTATTCGATCCTCGTGCATGTCAAAAATTGATGAAGCTTCGTGGTCACACCGATAATGTTAAGGCAGTCATTGTAAATCGCGATGGCACACAGGCATGCGTCATTACGTTCGTTCGGAGCGTGAATTTCGGATATTTTATATAATTGAAATAAATCCGAATTGACATTAAAAAATTAGTTTTGGAAGTCCTTTTTTTCATTTTCACCGTTTTTCTGCTACTGGTTTGCTGAAGTTTATGTAATTAGACCTTTGTAAGATTTTGAGTTCATAATATCATTTGTCAATTTTTTCAGTGCTTATCGGCCAGCAGTGATGGTACCATAAAGTTGTGGAGTATTGGACAGCAATGCTGCATATCATCACTGAAATGCCATTCAGAGAGTGTTTGGGCATTGGAAGTAAGTTTAACTTAATTTTCTTTATTGTTGATATAAACTTATTTGTATTCTGTAACTGTTGTATAATAAATTCCTTGTTTTATATTAGTGTAATTATATTTCAAAAGTCAGTACAAACATTGAAGTTTTGTGCTTCATGATATGTATAGTATCTTTTGTTACCGTACTATTTTCAGGCTGATAGTAATTTTTCATATGTATATTCTGGTGGGCGAGATAAACAGGTCTTTCGCACAGCAATTAACGATTTCAAGACAGCACAGCTAATGTTTATTGAGGATGCACCCATACAGCGGGTAAGGAGAGTTCCATTACTACTGGAGTTGAGTCATGATTGAATTTCATGCTCAAACTTTCATTCATTTGCGCTCGAAATACATTCACGCATTACATTTTAAAAGGTATTAGTAATCAACCGTGCTTTCTACAGTTCTTTCGAGATATGTATTTTGATAAAAATTACCTTCAAATATTTTTTCATTTCACTATAATGTTTGATTTTAATTTATTTTAATTTTAGCTGCAACTAACCGATTCGGAATCACGCTTCATTTGGGCAGCTACTTGGAACTCGTCAATTAAACGGTGGCCATTGCTAAATAATGCTCAAATTCCAATTGGGATGAAAAGTGATCAATATGGTGAAATGGTTCCATGTATTCATGAACCAGATGTCACCATTCCAGGTTGGAAAAAAGATCAATTGTAATATCGGAAATATTTTTCTAATGAAGAAGCTAAGTTGTTGCACACGTTTTGGTAACTTTATTCAATTTGACCAAGCTTCAGGTGCTGCAAGTATTAGGCAGCATGTTGTTTTAAATGATAAAAGACATATTGTTACAAAAGATACTGACGACAATGTGGCAATGTGGGATGTCTTAAAAGGAAGAAAGGTTTAAAATTTTGCATTCTACCAAGAATTCTTCAATTCATTGTAGTTAGTTTGAATTATGTCAGTTCCATGTAACTTTGACTTCAAAACTAATCATGTCGGTAGTTTATAGATTATGAATAAAAATATTTTAACACTGAAATTCTTCTAGCATTTGTTTATTTTAATATGACGGAAATAAAAAATATGGAATATGTTTTTTTTAAGATATGTGATCACGGAAAGAGACCGATGGAGGAAGTAATCAAGGATCATTTCAAGAAAGTATTTGTACCTTCATGGTTTACGGTTGATTTGAAGAGTGGTGTAAGTTAGTAATGAAAAATTTCAAAACACCAAAACTCATTCAGCCCTGGCGCTGTTGTTAAAGTAATATTTCATCGCTTCATAAATGTCACTTGATTGATTTTTTTTCTTGATTGCTATAGTTGTAGTTGCATCCATGTAATGGACTTCTGGTGCGAGACATGCATATTTAATTGGTCGAAATTTACAGTTAATGCGAAAATTTCCGACATTGTTGGTAATGGAATAATAGAATTTTCCTTTGATTTAATGGACAATGATATTTTTTTCTCCTTAGATGTTACAAATTACACTGGATGAATCAGACTTCTTTTCTGCTTGGGTGTCGGCAAAAGATGCTGGATTTCCAAACAGTCAAAATGATACTAAAAGTGAGGTTTTTTGCTTTTTTTTATTATAATTTATTGAAATGAAAAGTCTGATTTTAGGTTCAGTTGAGATCAGAAAAGAACTTTTTTTTATACTTATATTACAGTCAATTACGGTGGAATGTTGCTTCGGGCGCTGTTTGAACACTGGTCACGATCTTTTTCCGATGTTGATGAAGAATCTCCAACTCATCGATTCAATTCCGTACCTGGTCATACTCCACTTATTTTATGGTATTTCATTAAACTATTTTATGAATAGGAAGTAGATGAGTAAATAGAGGGATGAAAAGACCAAGTTTATAGAATCGGAAACCATTAATAAAAGAATTTCGGATAAAGTGAAATTTTAGGCTTATAATTTATAACAGCAATTTGTCCCGTCATTGTGGATAATTCGAGCTCAAAAAATTTTCTCAGCATTCTGGAGCTATAAAAATATATTTAAAACCGCATGATATCACGTTTATTATTATTTTGAATCACGTAGTATAATCACGTAGTACTGAGCAAATATGTGTCTTGTTTCTAACAAAGTGGATCGATAACGATTATAGAGCGCCAATTAATTCCAGTGAATCAACTGGTCGACCTATATTTCGGCTGATGATACGTGATGCTGCACATGAAACTGAATCACAAATGCTTTCTGACTTTGTTCCGCCTTGGGTGTTAGATGTTGTTGAACGAAATCAACTTCCAAAATTTAACAAAATGCCATTCTTTCTGCTTCCACATCCATCGCTTGGAATCAAGGCAACAAAGAAGTCTGTTTTTTATTTACATACCAAAAAAACAATTGTTTGATTTCGAAAGACAAAGAACAAAGATCTTAGCAGTTTAAAACTCATGATGAAATTCAAACAAATTATAAGAAATTTATATTGAAATTATTTAGTATAGTGTTTGCAGTAGTAGATATCTTCAAATTTTCTGCACGAAACGATTTTTTCAAGGGATCGATTAAGCGCGACAGAAATGCTTCAAGTGAGAAAAGTGATGGAACATGTTTATGAGAAAGTATTGAATGTAAACGATGCAAATTACTCAGAGAATGGTATTCCACCTGCTGCGCAAATCTTGCCATCCTCTCTACAGGCAAATATTGAAGAAAGGATTGAACTTTATTGCCAAGATCAAGTATGCGTTCAACTTATATATACAGAATGTATTATCCATGTTTAGGTTTGAAAAATTATTTTTAAACTATCCTAGTTCTTCATCCGATATAGATTCCATAAAGAGCGAGATGATTTTTGAATATTACTTCCTTTCTGATGTTTATATCTGCAACTAATTTTTATAAAAAATTTTTCACATTTTAAGAATTCTGGGGAAATCTTATTTTATCATTTCATAACTTTATCTTATCAATATTGTCGCTCAAAAAATAGTTTCCGAAATTCTATTCTCTGTTTTCAAATGTTTTAAACGTCATGAGTATTTTTTTAGAAATTGGATCCAGAAATGGATCTTCGAACTGTCAAGCATTTTATCTGGAAGCAAGGTGGCGATCTCATGTTGTATTATAAACCTATACGATAATGGTGGTTATTTGGATTAAAAAATTATCTTTTATTCACTTTTGCAGCATATTAAAGATGGGGAAGTCCAATGTTCTGTTCAAGAATGTTGCGTACTTTTTACAAACATGACATATTCTAAGTTGTCGTTTATATAAGCCTTATGTAGCTTGCATGTTTCTTTGACCGATTTTGTATAACCATTATTTTATTCTCATTTCTTGGTAAGATATTGCAATTTTCATGTGTCGGTTCAGAAAACCAACAATTTTTAATTGTCATTTATCGATTTTATTTTTCCAAAAGAGTTTCATATTTTTTCATTTTTGTCATTCTAATTAGGCAATGCAAAATGTTTAAAAATGACGTTCAAACATTCTAGCAGATAACTTACCGAAAGGAAAAGAAGTACATAAATTCCTTCTGAATAGTCCTATAGACATTTTTGCATCTGTATCCACTAGGCATTTCGATCTTCCATTTTTGAAAAGAATAAAATTAGAAAACTTGAAAAAAATAAAATTAGAAAAGAATAATTTTGAGGAAAAAATAGTCTTCAAAATATGCTCGAATTGCATTTTTGTTTAAAATGTATATTAATTATGGAATGTTATTGATATGTTTCTAATAGGTTCCGAATTTGAGATGAATTGTTATATAACAAATTATTATACTTCGTCTAATGTTTTAGAAGGAATCAACATATGTAATAAAATTTTTTGAAGATTTTAAAATAGGAGTGTCATCTGATCTTGACATTTTTTCGTAATATTTGAAATGGAAGCCAAATTAACAAAACTTTTCCATTCTTCAAAATCATTGAAATCATTAATTGACAATTCATTTGTTTGAAAAATTTAAGAATATACAATAAAAAATAGTGTATTTTATATGATATGAATCGCGAAGCGTTATTGACAGATTACTAAACTATTATTATGTACTCTGGCCTTCAGCAACATCTTAAAATCCTTTTCAATCAAAAGAAACAAAATAGAGATGTAAGGGATCCGACTTTTCTGCTAAACTCTGAATTTTTTCATTTCCATTATTAGGCATGAATTTTTGGTATGTTACAATTATGTTTGAAATTCTATGTTTTGAAATGCTGCACTGAACTGTTTACAAAATTCAATGCAAAAGATTGGGAAACAACAGAGTGGAGCATTGTAGTATATAAAATGTTGTTGTGGTATAATAATATGTCGAATTCGAACTAACATTTACATAATTGGAAAATTTGTTTAATGGAAGTTTCTTTTTAAACAAATAACATCACTCTCTTCGCAAAAACAATCGGAGGTATGAAATTCATTATCAATTTTTAAACGATAATTTAGTTAGTGTGTTATGTGGTTAAAATGTGATTTAGATAATACCATTGATCAAAATTCAAATGTAACTTCATAAGCCGGTTGCAGTAGTATTGTACTTGTTGTAGATAAAAGTGCTGAAGTTATATCATTGAGGTTAAGAAATAGTTTGAACTTTATTTTTTGACACTTCGAGAAGGGAAGAATATATTCGACTGGAATGTATTCCAGGCCAATAAAATATATGTTATGATGGATGTTAAATTCGGCTGTCAAACCATTACTCTTCACATACCTTCGAGCTAAAGCAATATTTCATATCCGATAATTAAAATCTGCAAAATTTGAATTGTATAATGATGAAATATGATGAAATCTAAAATTTAAATCTAAACATCACTTAAATTGGATTATATGCCTCTAACATTTTCCGTTAAAAGAAATTCAAAAATGTATCCGTTGGTAGAGCAATTTCTTCACCTCGTTTTAAATATTAATTTTTTGCAACATTTAACTGCAGTTGATTTAATTAATTTAATTTAATTTATCTTACAATTACAGAGTGTAATCTTTGCATTCTTCAAAATTGCTTCCGGATTCAGAATTAAGCATTCAAAATTTAATTACTTCTATCGAGCCAGTTATCAAAATTTTCAAATAGTATTTGGAAATGTTTTTAATTGGTTATAAAAGAAGAAAAGAGTAACGAAAATTTCCAGAAATGTCTGAGAAATAATAAACAAATGATTTTTTCCCTTATCAGTATATCTCATCAGACTTATTTCACAAATATTTGGTAACTCATTCCCTAAGGTACCAAAGATTATTCTTATTATCACTTATTGTTTGCTTCCTTATCAGTTACGTGATATGTTTTTGTGTGCTATAAGGTCTATTTAAGATTGTAATTAGATTCATTTAAGTTTGAGTTGAAAAAAAAATCATTGTTTATTTCAATTTTGTTAATCATTGAACATTTGGACGGGCTGGGAAGACCTTCTGATTAAATTATTGAATTTCCCATTTATAAAACAGTAATTCTGAAGCTTGTAAGCACGAAGCTCTTTGTTTCTTTATTTTCAGAAACTAATGATGAAAATAGCCACGTTTGTTGTGATACTATCAATCTGGATTACAGTAATCTATTCATCAGGTCTTTTTTCCATACATCCGCAGTTGCTATTAAATTAAAAACTTAACAATTATTTTACTTAAGTAAACTTTTATGAAGACTTAAAGAGTAGTTACATTTTCACTCAATGATGCAAGCGAAGGCCTACAATTAAGGCATTCAATCCTTTAATTGAGCACCTTCCCATTACAATGATTTAACACTATCAAATTGTTTCATATACTCAAGTCTATAAGCTATGTAATACATATTTACTGACTTAAATAATTCTTTAAATGATTGTAATCATAAACTTAGTTATTCGAATAATTTCTTTTGAATGATAATATTGTTTTCCAATCAATGATTATTATTACTATTTTCATAATGATTATTTTAATGATATTGTTAAGACTCTAAGACAGGAAAAGGGAGAGAGAGAAAAACAGAGGGAGAGAAAGAGCGAGAGGAAAATTATCAGAAATCAACTAATGATTTTAGAAGGATTACAATCCATTATAAATTTTTATCGAAAAATAATTGTTAGCTAATTTATTGCTTACAAAAATTAGTAGTTCAAAAGAATAGCAAAAATCTTTATCACTTCGAAGTAAAATCATTTAGAAACTTTGAATTCAAAAGTACAATTAATAAAATGCTTTAGTCAATTTTCAAGGATCGTTTAAATCTGAATCAAACTATTTCCCTGCTAAAACCACAGGAAACTAAAGGATGAAGTTTTATATGACAAATGGATAAATATTGCTTTAAGGATTGGATTAATCAATTAATTAGTTCTCATCAATTAATTTATTAATTTTAATAAAACTTTTTATCAAATTATTCATTAGGTTAACTTTGTTTTTTGCAGTGAAAAATGTTACATTCGAGTAGGAAGAATGAAGCAATTGAGAATTGGCATAAATATTAAAGTGTTATATTATTAAATGAAATTATTATTTTAATAAATTATGCACTAAAAAATATTCAATATAAATTGTAATCGAAATAAAGTTAATTAATTAAGTTAAAGAATCTGAATCGATGTAAATTCCATTGTTTCTTTTACCCTGAATCTTATTAATAAGATTATTTTGTTTAAAATGATTTTAAAATCGAAATCATGTCACTCAACAAAAATTATCCAATCGGGAATCATGAAAAAATACCTATTCAATGTATATTAAAAAAAAATTCTTTAAATAATATTAGAAGTAAACAATAGATCTGACCTATCATATTAATACATTTGACCTGTCACATAAAACGTCTATTTTTAAGATATGAGATTATCATAATATTTTGCATATAAATGATATAAAATTTAATTCAATTTTTTTGTACTACTAAAGTGATAATTTGCATTGCAAGAAGGGATAATCAAATTTAATAACCAAAAAACTTATTCTGTATTTAATTGCATAGAGTAAATACTGAATAGATCGATATTATGCTATTTATTATCTATCATAATCATTGTAATTTTTCAGATATTAAAATTATCAGAAAAGTAGAATGATAATGAATAGCTAATTGATTGTAATTGTTTAAGTGAGTTTTTAAACCACTTTATTTATATAGTTAAATGTTCCAATTCACATCATTTTTGCTAACTTATTGATTATTTCAGCAGGTGGATTAGTGAGGAAAGTCGAAGATGATAGCGATTCCTCTATGCTACTCAGGGAAGATATTAGTATGTTATCTTTTAAAATAAAAAATAATCAATTTAAAATGGTTTGAGAAGGATATGTTGTTAGAATATAATTGATATGTAAAACAACTTCGTTAATCTAAATCTGATAAAATTATCTTATCAGTAATTATTTGAATTAATTATATTATTTAAATTAAGAATAGCTAAATGCCTACTTCTTGAATATCTTGCTTAGTATTTATAGCAGAAAGCTGCTGGGCTATTAACGGGTATTGCATTTTTTTTCTGAGATGATCGCAGAAGTTTTAGTACTTTTATAACTTGTAGAATGTTGTAGAAGAAAAATATCCTCCAAAAATAACTGATCATTTATAATAGTCAAAGGGTTAACTTCCACTGACAACAAAATTAACTTCCATAATAGCACGACAAAATGTGAATCTTTTCAAAATTTTTTACTGAAGTAAATATTGGAAATTGGAAGAGATGATTTGGTGGAAAGCAAAAAATGTTCGTTCAATAAAGAATTCATTCCTCTTATATTTCTACTTGATTTTCCTCAGATCAATAAAATTTTCTATTTCTTTAGCTCAGAAAATTTTGGAATTCAATCATTAAAAGCAGTGAAAATTTTAAATGCGTAGTAATAGTGCGGTAGAATGAGTAATTAATTTTAAAGGAATTTCTTACTGAGATCTCGAAGTCAACAAGTTTTTATGTCTGGCAGGAACACATTGATAAAAAATAAAGATTTTGCAATATTTCCTAAAGTTCAGAAAATGAAGTAATTTTCCCTTGTTTCTTGCAATTAACAATAAAACCCCATGAATTCTACTAATTAATGCATCGATGTAAAGTTTAAAAATTCCTGAAGAATCTCTTCTTTGTTGGGATAAGTAATTTTAAAAATTATCCTTTCCTAACAATATCTTAGATAGTCAGATTCTGTAATTATGTTTTTTAAATTTCAACAATTTACACTCCCATGACAAATTTTGATCTTCAGGAATTAAAAGTAAATCCGTTGTTTCGTTAAGAGTTTCGGAGTAGCAATCAGAATATTCTAAAAAGAAAAATTTCTTAATAATGAATAAAAAATTATCTTTCTAACAAACTGCGTTAAATAAATGATCCTATTGTTTTAAAGTGCCAAACATTTTGATGCATATAATATTGCGCAAGTGAATTGCCCTCAACAACAGAAAAAAAAACTGTTTGCTTTTTCGGACAATAGCAAATGGAGATTTGGGAACAAATTCGAAATAAAATTTAATTTGAAATTAAAAATCTGTTTATGGCTAATTATAATATTTTTAGCAAAACGGTCAGTGGATTTAGCATCTGCCGGAAGGCTTGCTGAAGGCGACGATGATGACGACGATGAGTGTGATGATGATGACGATGGCGGTGATGATGATGATGATGACCATAAAGATGATGATGATGACCATAAAGATGATGATGATGATGATGATGACCATAAAGATGATGATGATGATGATGATGATCATAAAGATGATGATGATGATGGTGATGATGATGATGATGATTATTATGGTGATGATGATGATGATGATAATGATGCTGATGATGATGGGGATGATTATTACAAGGATGACAATGATGACTGAAATCACGACGATTACAAATAATTATTAGATAGATAATGATAACCATGATTATTCTTGTTACTAAATAAATGATTGTAACTATGATATCAATAACTTTAAAAAAAATAATAGCTATATTGATGATATCAGCAATACCAAAAACGAGTAATTATGGCTTTAATTTTAATAAATAATTTGATTTAATTGCAGAAGAATATAGTTACACTAATTTTCCAATTTTATTAGATTGCATAACTAAAGATAGCTAAAAATATTTCGTTTTGTTTTCACGATAATTGATTTAAGAAGTAATTTGCATCATAATGTTGATTTGTGATTTATTAACTATTAACGCTGTTATTTCACTTCTTTGTCAATTTATTTATTCGCATATTTCAAGTGTTTAGAGTGATATCGTTTGTATCATCCGTATCTAAATCATATTCAACTATTTCCTTATTGTTCCATGAAACACACACACACACACACACACACGGATATGTGAATTCTGAATAAAATTAACTGTATAAAATTCAAGATAAGATAATTTGTTTCACCAATCGATATATTTATTATAACATTTTGTTTACAATGAAATATTGCTAATTATAAAATCTAAAAAAAATATCAGATTTTCTGTGATATTTTATAAATTATCATTATTGAATTGCAACTTAATCAGAAAAAGGATTGATATTAGTGTTAAAAAGAACTGACAGTATAATTTTTCATCATTAAGAAATAGAAAATTGTTTATGTTATTCGTATAGCATACTATAACGGTGATAAGAGTTGTGTTGTAATGTCCGTCCGAATAGTTAGTTGTTACTATATTCCAGCGGTGAATATAACTTCTGTTGGCTAGTGATCTTGTTCTAAATCATTTCGGCCAATTTACAGAAAACTTCTTACAGAAAAACATCCATTATTTTCATTGTTAGATGCTATACTCCAAACTTTGGAATAATTATCACTTAACCTTTGCACTTTTAACTACAAATTTTTTAATTACTTTTTTTAATTACTGTAAAATTTCAAATTGTTCAGTAATAAAAATATGAAAATAATCAGTTATCCCTATCTCTTTTAATGCTCTCATATAGTATATCACAGCAATAGAAAAGGTGTAACAAAATTTGCTATGCTTCTTTTGAACTTATTTATTTTGAATTACTTGCTTATACTTACAGCAAAATTGCTTAGCTATAATTTTTTAAATTCCAAATTTGCTTGAATTAAAAGTTCAAGGAAAAATAGTGTATTGTTATATAACTTAAAAGAAATGATAAATCGATTAATCCTTCCGGAAAGCTTGTAGATGAAAAAACTAATCATTCCCATGGAAAGAGAGATTTATTGAAACGGTCAGTTTCATTTCAACTTTAGCAAAAATATCTAAAATACGTCAATAAGATAATGACGTACAATATTCAGTCGCAAATCTGTCGCAAAAATAAAATGCTCAATTGCAAATCATTTAATTGAAAAATTAATAACTGTAAATTTTCTTGGCCAAATATTAAATAGCCAACAATGAAGTTGTATGCCTTGTGATTAATTTACAAATGTACATCAATGTACATCAAAATATTACAGCAATGCACAGCAAAATATTACAACAATTAGTTGTTTGAAATAATTTAATTAATTTCAAGAATATTTTATCATATAATAATTAAAACTTTTTTTCTTTCTCTTTTGTTTTACAGAGAGAATGTATAATAAAATAAAATTAAATTGTTATCGAATAAATTATTTTTCCTCTTAAATTTATTTTTCTTGATAAAATCAAAAATTATTGTGCCAGCTATTAGACAGCTATTGCTATTATTTTCATTTTATATTTGAATAGAACTGAAAACAAAAGGCAAAATAAAATAATTTGAAAAATAAAATTCAATAAAGAACTTTATGTATCACACAAAATGCAATTAGCTTTTTTCCATTTATGTAAATGAATGAATCATTTTGTCGTTGTTTGTGTAATAAAGGAAATTTTGATATTTTAAAATTTTAAAAGATCAAAAATATTTTGTGATCACTAGACATAACAAAATTTTCATTTTAAAAAGCATTCGTGAAAGTTCAAAGGAAGAATGTTACTTTTAACGCTTCTCTTCTCGTCAGCCGTCGTCTATGCTCGCTATGACTATGGTTCATCCACGGTCAGTTGACAACTTATATCTTCCCTTTTGATGTTCGCTTACGATATAACAAATTTTAATTTAATATCACATATTTGTTAATGTATTAATAATAGCAATTATCAAATGTTTAAAATATAAAAGCGGATATTAACATAGTTCTTCAATAATTTCTGAATTCAACATTTGAAACAACATTTTTTTATTATCATATTAACAGTGAAACAATTATAGGTTTTAGTTAAATTAATAGATATTAGCATTGAACTAATTAGAGGTTTAAGAAATTAACAGATATTAACATCAAACTAATTATAGGTTTAAGAAATAAATTTTTTAAAAAAGGTTTTACAACAACATTTGAGTAAGATCAAATTTTACATTCAGAAAGTTTACGGAAAATGTTGTAGGCGTAATATTATTAAATAATGCACAATAAATGAATTGCTTCATTTATTTCAATTATGAAAATTATTTAAATTGCAACATTTTTGCAGTCATCACAACAAAAAGAATTGGAAGTGAAATGGAATCATTTTGGTAAAATTAGACGTTTCGCAATTATAGCTGAGAGTTGTTGTATTTATGACGAATTAATCAAGGCTATACATACGTATGAACCCACATTGAAAGGCCTTCTTACATGGAAAGGTTAAATAATTTTATCTCTACGAATTGAAAAACTCTCAACATTCCATCCCGGAATTCGACATACTGATAATTCATTCAAACAAAACGACAATATACTCCTACTTCTCAAATCTTTTTAGAAAGACTTACCTGCCTTACTTTTACTTTGAAGTAACAAAATAAGAGCTTTATTGAAGAAGAGATGAAAGAGAATGAAAATGATTGAATTTTGAAGGTAAGTGAAAAGATAAAGTTTTGCATAATATTAGTATGTGTGTGTATGTGTGTGTGTACCTAAATATTTTTCATTTATTTTAATTTAGAACCAACCGAAATTTTGCAGATAGTGAAAATGATTCGATTCTGCTGAATTCATCCAATGAACTTAACTTAGCTTTAAAGAATAAACCAAATAACTTCTTACGTCTGAATACTATCGGTACAAAAATTTTTCTCATCATTATGAAATTTTCATTCTTTATAGTTTCAAAATTAATATTTTGCAGTGATGTTGAAAAAGATAGTAAATATTCGAAATCGATTTTTGTTTGATATAATTTCAGATGAGAAAATTTTCGACTATCAAACAATTAAGGATACAGTGACGCATCACAATGTAAGCTATTTTTCAATTTTGAAAAGCTATTTTTCAATTTTGTTTTATGATTGAAAAGTTTTCATATTTTTTCTTAAATTTAACATAAATAGTAATAATACATTGAAAATTTCAGTTGCATTAAAATTTCATCGTTTATCGGAAATTCTCCTTATCATGAACTTTTTACGGAATTCCATATGCAATTGAGTAAATGTGCTGTTCGTAATATAACATAAAAAAATGAATTTTACGCAGTAGAATTGACATCGGATAGTAATCCCAAGTAGAATAATCGATAAGACTGATAGTATGAGATTGAATTTTACGCAGTAGAATTGACAACGGATAGTAATCAAGTATAAAACTATTTTATTGATAAGACTGATAGTATGAAGTTTTATTAATCATTAGCTATTTAATTTTCGAAGGAATTTGAAAAATTAATATTAAAAACTGTTGCAATAAGTTCTTGAAGAAGTTGAAAAATTGAAATTACTTATTTTTTTTTAATGATAATTATCTTTCTTATCAGCGATTATTATCATCAATTTTCAGCTGAAAAAAGAAGTCATTGGAAAATTTCTTGATGACAAAGAAGTCGAAATCGAAATTAACATTAATCTTTCAATGGAGGAAAAAGAATTGAAAGTATTAAAGTGTTTTAAGCAGGATAAAAAAGATCAAAAAATATTGCCAATTAATATCATTTGTAATTTTAAGCCTGAAATTGTGAATAATCAAATAATTAAGAATCAAACAAGTGATAAGAAGGAAATGGTGGAAACAACAGCAATGACAAAACTAGCAACAATGAAAACAACGCCAATAACAAAATTTTTATCAAATTTTTATTAATTAAAAAATTAATAAAATTTTATAACTTTTTTATATGAACTAATTTACTCCCTGTTCATTCATTCACTTCATTATTGTTAATGGTTATATGGTATTTGATGAGAAAGATAAATGATAAAGCATTATAAATAATAAATGATAATGAAGTGACAATCCAGAAAGGAGTTAATAAAAAAATAGTTTTCGGTTCAGTCCCCGACATTTAATGAAGTGACTGATAAAAGGAGCTTTTTGAAATAGCGAAAGAAATATGATAACATTAGCAGTGATCACATCATGTAATTAATAATTTAACTTTTAAAGTTACCATCGATCAGTTTGCTTTCTAACAAACACTATCAATTCCATAGTAGATGAAAAGTAATACTATTCGGTCGATGCTTTCTTACTAGCATTGGAATTCTAATATATTACAGTGAACATTTGAAAAATCACAAGTAGTGATATTGAGAATATTAAATATAAACAATTTAATGTGGGGATGAATTTTTTCAAAAAGTTATATTTCAAAAGAAAGTGTTAAAATGAAGTAACTAACGCTAATAATCACGTACGTGAAATTTTGCTTTTTATCAGACTAAAATTATAATAATAATTTGAAATTATAATAATAAGCTATGCATAATTCAAATACACTAATTTTTCACCACTTGAACGATACACGAAAAATTTTTCTTTTTTTCCGAACTTCTTCAATACTAATTTGATATGATAATTAAATATATTGTTTTAATTAAATATAATAATTAAATAAGATAATTAAATATATTTTTTTTTGAATTTAAATTTAAAAATTAATTTATCTTTTATTCATTCTATTTCATATAATTCAAAATGATACAAACAAAATTATGTTCGTTTTTATTTGCATTAAATTCAACAAATCTCTCATAATATTAGCATTGTTGAAGAACAAAAAAAAAGGATTTCAACTTATCAGATAAAATTTTACAACAATTTTAATTTTTATCATTTGTATATGCAAAATGATACGATTATTTTGATAAGCTTTTCTGCAACAAAATTTTTGCAATTAATTGTTAGCTAATTAAAAATGTATCAGATTGTTTTAAGAATTTTATTTTTCTTGATCTTCACAAATGCTATTAGCAAATTTCCATTGAAATATATTATTCGATTTTATGAAATCCAATAGAATGATTTGCAATTTTCGGGATGAGTGTTGAGTTGGTAGAAAAATTTAATGAAATGTTGGGTTGCTTTGATGGTTGTTGGTAGTTAGTGTGGACAAATGATAGAATGGAAGGAAGATTTTCTAAAAAGCACACACAGATGCTATCATTTATTTTACTCCTTTCCTTTCCTTCCTTACGTTTTCAATTCATTTCATCGATATCTTCTTTCCATCAACTCATCAACCACTAACAATCACCGCCACCATCGGTATGTATATATATATATATTCTTCCACTAAATTCATCAACCATCAACTATTACCGCCATCACCGATATATACATATATATCCTTCCACTAATTCATCAACCATCAACCATCATCACCACCACCGGTACCATATATGCATGTATGTATGCATACTTATTGTATTTTATTTTAATTTTCAAAACTTTAAAATTTTTGTAAATTGCAAATTAGAGACCAATTAATATATACGTAATTTGGAGTGGGAAAAGTTTTGAATGATAAATTGTTGTAATGAGAAATATTTTTGAAATGTAATTTAAATGAATCAAATATATTATTAACAGGTATGAAATGAAAATTAGGTTATAATAAAACATTCTCCAAATTTGATTAAAATTTTCTTTCTTTAGAAAAATGCTTAGAATAATTAGACTAAGCTATAATAGCAAACTCTTTTTTGTTTTAAGAAACCTTAAATTAGACAAAGTAAAAGAGAGAGAGAGAATTAGGGATTATTTTATAATTTTCTTTTCAAATTATTGCAAGGAATAGTGAAATCAATATGTGTTCATTCATTTATAATATACGAAGTTCATTTGGGTAAAAATTTAATACCAGCTGACAAGATTTCCATCACTATATACTATTATTGCATTTTACGAAACTTTTCTTTTCACTTTTCTTTTCTCAATTTATGCAAAAAACTTTTTGAGCAAAAGAAAAGTGTCATCATCATCGACCTCCAAAAGCGGATGGAATGGTAACGGATAGTGTGAACACTGTAAATCGCGGAGAAGATGAAAAAAAAATGAGGAACAGGAAGAAAACGAAGCAAACTCTTTTGCGGGAGAAGCGTCAAATATTCAACCTCGAAAAACATTTTTCCACACCTCTTTCCCTCTCTCTCTCTCTCTCTTATCTTCTCTCTGATTTTTATCTTTTTTTTACCCATTTTAAATGAACAGAACAAAAATGAATTAGTATCGAAATGAGAGAATACAAACCAATTTGATGATAAACTATCTTTCCGATCATTTGCCTTTATTTTTTTCCCTTTTTAATTTACTAAAATTCTTTTCATCATAATTAAATTTAAGTAAGGCATACTGATATTAGCTACCTGTTTTAGTTTGTTGAAAAAAAAGTGATACTTTTGAATTTCTTTTGTTTTTTGTAAATTAGTATAAAATTATTCAATTATTTGTTAATACATCTTTGTCTTAAGCAGTAATAGGCAACTATTGTTAATTTCCTTTTATTGTTCAAAAAATTATATGAGAATTTTAATTTGAATTAATTTTAAATCTTCCTTTTTTTTTCGTCTAACATTAATGAAATTAAACGATATAAATAAGCATCGAAAGAAAATCAGAAATTTGAAACTTTTCCTTTTTACAACATATAATTTAGTGGTGATAAAATTTTATCAGTAATAATCATTGCATGTAATATTTAATAATTCGAATAATTAATTTTCTACCTATTTGAATTCATTTATCTTTACAGCTATCGCTATTATTGAGATAAATGATGATGATAATGAGTGAGATGGAGTAGAAAGCAATGAAGAAGAGTAGAGGAGATTTCACGATACCTCTCTCTCTCTCTCTTCCTTCATTTTAAATTGAATAGCAAATTTGCTAGCAATATTTTTTGTATTTATCGGCACATCCAATTTCACTGTATCTGTATTTGTAATTCATAAACTCCAAAAAAATACATTCATTTTTCTTTTTTGATGTTTTGTTATGTAAATTGTTTTATCATCTAATTAAATCTCTCAAGTTATTAATTACTTAATACAATTAATTGTTAATATAACATTAATGCAAAATTGTTTAACTAAATTACAGTCAAATTTCAATGTAGAAGTTTTTTAATGAGTTAATATTGATGAAATAATATTTATGATATTAGAGAATATGATCGATCGATCATCAGTACTTTTAAGTACTTATCTTATTCTTAATTCAATTTCAAAACTTTAACAACCACTATTACAGTGTTTATAATGCTTTATGTCTGTTTTCATTTTAAAACTTTGACAACACTCATATTGTTATGCTAATATTAAATATTATCAAATGTCGAATAAAACAAAAAATGGTAAAATTTCAATTTTAGAAAAAGTTTCTTCTAAGTTTAATTTTCGTCTTGAATTCCATCTTGAATAGTATTTTAATTAATAA